CCAGTACTCCTGCAGACTCCCCCCCTCCCAACAGAGCCCATAGTACCAACGCACATTCCAGTACTTACCTGCAACAACCGCCGCAAAACATTTTCAAGATTTTTGATCAGGAATGGCCTCCGCCTGCAAAAACAACACCACACCAGATCAGATTACTAACCAAAAGCAATGTGCACGTACAGACAGGCATCGCACCTAAATACGTCGACACTTACAAAACCCTCATAAACCCAACATAAGCAACAAGGGAATAAATGTCAAGAGCACTGAACAAAAGCAGAGAACAATCCGGTTGCCCACTCTATCTCCAGGAGGAGATGGTTGCTCCTCATTTGCTGCGTGCAAGTTCGGGCGTCACGCTGCTGGAGCGCCTGGAGGAGCGCTAGTGTGCAGCGCTGTGGAGATGAGGAGCGCCCAGCCCTCCATCTTGGCTATGGTGGACAGGCTCGGGTAGGAGGAGGAGGAAGGAGGGGACTGGGAGAGGGGATCTCTGGGGGTACTTACCTGGCTATGGTGGACGGCATCTTCATCACCTTGGTAGGTGCTGCATCTGGAAGGCCCCAGTTAGGGTGGTGTTCTATCACGAAGCTTCGACACAGGGTCGGGCATCGCAGCCTGAGAGGAAGGACATAGCTGCTTTGCATTGTCTTTTGCACATCAGGGCAAAGCCCTCAGTAGTCCGCCATAGCCTCGGCCGGAATGAAGAGAGAGAGGAGGACGGGTGGACCTCTTGTTGTACTGACAGTGAAGAGAGATTCCAACATTGATTCTGGTTCAGCCATTCATCATTAAGGAGTCGGATGGTTTATTGTTTGAATGAGAGAGGAAGTAAGGAGTTGTGTGGCAAAGAAGGGGGAATTATCATTGGCCTTTTGCTGGTGTACATCTTTTGCTTCTTTCTTTCTTCTTCTTTACCTATCTCTCCTCTCAAGTTCATTCATTTCTTTTGCAATTGGACAGCATTGTACTTTCTTGCAAATCTCCACTTTGAAATCGGCCAGGATCGTAACGAAGTATTATCCTTTTCCCAGAAACAAAACAACATGAACATACCCTGCCAACACCTCCTTGAAATGTCATCAGCATGAGAACTCGTGATCACAAACACTCCGATAAACGTCCTTTTGACTTACCGAATAATCTTCTGAATGAACAGAATATAAGGTAGGATACTCTCCTTTGTTGGCTCGCAGTTCAACACCTGACACATTGGCAGCCAAGTAAACAAACGTCATTTCAGCACCACATCATAGCACGGACAAAAATCCATAACGGGCCGCACAGAAAAAATGAAAGCTTCAAACACAGAGACAACAACCAAGTCATATTACTTACAGTACTAGCCAAGCAAGAAGCTTTCATTAACAATCAGTTAACTTACCTTTTGCACATCACATGCCCAGTGCAAATACAAGCAATCAACATGCATGCTTACAGGCAAAGAAATGACAAACGCAGCAAAGGTAGCAACAACTGCAGAAAACCCTCGCCAGCAGAATTGGCATAAATTTCATGGACTCGAAAGAACTTGGTGCCAAATTGTGCATGAAAAGAACATACAAGAACTGTGCGGGTACAAAAAGAAATTTGGCCAGCGGATCACTCAGATTACCCGAGGATCTCAAACATCCGACAAAACTTCACTTAAACCACCCACCACTACTTCGCCCACTATTCAAAAATGGCAAAACTGGCAATTTTCCCATTTTCTCCGGAGTTTTCGGGGGTCGGAGGAGCTCGGCAACAAGAACACGTTTGGGCCTTGTGGTCGGTCCCATATGAAAAACAAAAAGAAAAGAAAAGAAAAAAAAGACGAGAACGCAACGCCAGGAAAGATGTTGGGGAAGGCCATGAAACAGGTAGTGCCCACATCAAAAAACTGCCAACAACGTATCTGGCAAAAAATCTGACTACTTCCATATTTTGTTGTTTGTGTTTCGTTTTTCTCATTTTGCTTTGCGATAGTGCCCTGGCACCAAGGCAGGGCACATATCACGTGCTGCTGACAATCGGTCAAGAAGGACACGCTCATACTACTACCAATGCCAATCCACTTTCTCGTTAGGATGGCAGTTTCGATTTTGTTTTTGTCCTCGTGGATGCACCTCTGTGACGCCCTCAATGAGGGCACACTCACAAAACTACTAAACTTTCCGTACCCACCTGCTACAACGTCCAAATAGTTGTTTTTTTTTCCTTTCTTTTTGGCTCTCGTGGATGCATCGCTGGGTTCTCTTTTTTTCCCCTTTTTTTCAAGAGTTTGAAGAGTACCAGATTCTTTCCTTTTTGCTCTCGTGGATGCTTCGCTGGTTTTTTTTTTTTTTTTTTCTGTTTTACAGGAGTTTGAAGAGTACCAGAAAATGAAACAGAACACGCCCCAGGCTCGGCAACACTCCCCACCTGCTATGACGTCCAAAAGGTTGTTTCTTTCCTTTTTTTCTCTCTTCTTTCGAGGATGCAACGCAGATTTTTTTTTTTCTTTTTTTTTTTACAAGAGTAGCAGAAAATGAACCAGAACGGGCCTCAGGCCAAGGCAAACCTCGGTGCGCAGTTAAAATCAGGATCAGCAAAAACAGGCTCGGAGGTACTGGGTGGTTTAAACCACCAGTTCACACGAACCTAAGTTCTACGGCATGGACCCAAGCCTCACGAGTCTGCAACTGCGCCTTTTCAAAGTGGAGTGCTGCTGGCCCGAAGCGGAGCAGTCTTACCGCGTATACCAGCAAGGCCACTACTTTCCCTCGAGCCTATTGCTGGTTTAGAACGATTTCACGTCCAACAAACTTGCAATCTTTCAACTATATTATCCCATCAAAAGTGGGCACTCAGATCGTGCACGCAAATAATGAACGTTCGCATTGCCCAGGTCATCACATTCGACTACTCTTCGGATATTATCCCGTTATAAACGGGCACTTAGATCGTGCACGCAAATCATAAACGTTTGCATTGTCCAGGTCATCCCATTCGCCATCAATGCTAGCAGATTTTCCACCATCATTCAACACCAAAACCCTTCCAGAACGTCTAAAAATAGCACACAAATGAAGGCTAATACGTGACTACGTTCACAGAACAAGCATTCCAGTTCTACTTACAGCATGCGGCTGCCGAGATGAGTCTTCCACCACGACCGTACTTCCAGCTGCCGTACGGCCACCTGTGAAAAACACCTGCCGAAACCACAACGCAATCAAAACTCGATTAATTAAACAAGCCTTTGCAACAACCAGCTCCATATTCGAAATGCTAGATAAAAATGTGCAAAGCACTGCAATGAAACGACCTCCCAACCATCAGCCCCAGCCGCCATTCGCTGGCAACCAGGGCATAATGCAGCTCCCTTATAAGGCTACAGAAATTGACACGAGAAATGAGTGAGAGAAAAAAGACATCAAAAGAAACAAAGGAGAGGATTTCGGGAACGGGAAGAAATACGGGTATGAAGACGAATGGAAGAGAGCCAGAGCAAACTACAATAGACCAATGGAGAGACTGAAGGTGGGTGGAAAAATACAGGATGATGAGGAACACTGCACAAAGCGGCACGAGGGGCAGATTGGGAAGAAGTGAACCGGACAGCTAGATCACGCAGAGGGGAGGGATAGAACCGAATGCGGAGGAGGTACTGTGCTAGAACAGGCAGAAGAAAACAGAACAGAGGGGAGGGGAAAGCAAGAACGTCGAAAGCAGGGATAGAACCGAATGCGGAGGAGGTACTGTGCTAGAACAGGCAGAAGAAAACAGAACAGAGGGGAGGGGAAAGCAAGAACGTCGAAAGCGACCGCAAGGTCAACCAGCTGCATGCAGACTTTCTTTTCGCATTCCATACATCCAGAACAGAGGGGACAAGCAAGAACGTGAAAAGTGACCACAAGGTCAACCACAAGCAAGCCAGCTGGATGCACACATTCTTTCCACGACTTCGCAGCTGCAATTATATACTACTCTAAACGCAAAAGGAAACAAACAGTGCCCAGGCGTATGACCTGTCACCGATAAAGGCATGAGTTCGGTCATAGTTTACCTCAAACAGGGTGTCGCCATAGCGCGAAAAGTCGAGCTCATCATCAACTTCTATCTCTTTAGAAATGAGATCCTGCAAGCGGTGGGAATTTGAACAAAGCAAGTTCGATCGCCAATTGTCACATTCAACTTCCAAGGTCGTGCTCATTACAAACGATTCAACAGCGATCTCACGAACTCCGCACGAACGTGCACGTTTCAGCAACTGCCAAGGTGTTTTTTTGTCGCCTTATGCATCTGTCCTCATGTACACTACCAAGGTGTTTGAGCAGGGAACACTACAGTAAAATGAAAAATTAATATCATAAAATCACTTGACATTCCAACAAACCACGCACATCATGATCATACATCCACCACCACATGCCTCACTCCTCCCACATCTTCTACGTCGTATTCCATACGTCATCTCACACAACAGCCCAACGTACACACTCAAAACCCCATTTGACACCCACTTCATCAAATCGTATTTTCCAGATTATGCCTATTTCATCAACGCACACCCCACCACAGGACATAAAAAGCCATTCCTTCTTCATCGAAAGAAGATCAGGGATATGAGAACAAACAGGGGACGAGGGTTTCACGACCACTCACCAAATCCCCGAGATCCTTTTCCCACTCGTATCAAATTATATTTCCAACTGAACACAGGACATACCCGAGTTTTTTTTGTTGTTCTTTTTTCTCATGTCGGGAATACCTCCACAAACGACCTGGAATACTGTGACCATTACTCAGATTCGGAGCACAGGTAGAGGAGTATCTAGGCACAGCAGGCCATAATTAGCTACTACTGCGCCTACATATTGGGAGAGTTGGAAGAGGAGCGGTGAGGAGAGTTTCACGCCCGCTCACCAAATCCCCCTGGTATCTTAGGCACATCAAGCACAGGACATGAAGGCACACTTGTTTATGGCAAGAAGATTGGGGAACTCGAAAAAAAGAAGTGGAGAATAGGGTTTCACGACCACTCACAGATCCCCACCTGCTATTCAAGACAGACAAAAACCACAGTACATGACAAGCACGGCTTTTTAAGCAAAGAAGATAGCGGAAGTGAAACACACAGATGGGGAAGAGGGTTTCACGATCACTCTCACCAAATCCCCCCTGCTATTTAAGACAAATTTAACCACAATGCATATAAACGCATGCTTTCTACCACAAAGAAGATAGGAGAAAAAGAAACGGGAAAGAAGGTTTCACGCCCACTCACCAAATCCCCCTGGTATTTAAGGCAGACATTAACAACATTATCCACGAATCCAGATGGATCCAACGGAACAGCGATGTTCCGTTTGCGGGTCTTGATCCGCGCGCCGCTGCTCATACCATGTGCCCCGTGCAGTGTCAGAAAGATAAATTACAGCCGGGCAACCAACGCAACCAAGGACACGATACAGAAGGCGAGACAATCGGTTCCCAGGTCCCGATTGCGATCCAAAACGCCAAGGGACGCAGAAGCACGGTGAAGAGAAGACAATTGACAGTTCCAAGGTTCAATTCCAAGCCCACGATGATTAAAAGAACACCACAACACGAACCGCACACAAAACAACAAACGAGGCAAACACACACAAGTCAACTCTCATTCAACCTATAAACAGCTCACTCCGAGGCCGCTTCCTTCCCCACCCCTGATCCAGTCGCCCATAAAGGAGTCGCTGGAACATATTCCTGTCCAAAAATATAAAACATCCGAGACGACATCTTCGAGATGAAACCTGCCCATGATGCTCTACCCCGTCCCAACAACTCCTGAAAAACTCAGCACTAAATCACTCGCTTAAAGACATGAAGACATGCGCCACATCATCATGTGTTAAACATACTATCTAGTGCAGGTCAGAATCTCCGTGCTTTGGCATGAACAAGACAGTTTTTTGACGAAAATATCAAATAAGAGACTCACGAGCCGATTGAGCTTTCCCAATCAATTTACTTTCTTAGAATCACTTCCAAAAAGCTAGAGTGCACTCGACTTCGATAAAACCACGCCGCATCCAAGCATACGTCATGACTCAGGACAATCCAGACTTGTGAACAGACTACTTCGCTGCAACAACCATTAAGCAATACTACTGCAGGTGTACTCTTCCTGATTACAAGGTGCGCAATGAAGAGCATGTTGGATCACCATATGGTTGATCCTGTTCCGTTTGCTCTTACCCATAAGAACGGGGCGACACTACGGTATGATCGATCAAATATTTCATTCCCTTCCCGGTAATCACATTTTTGACATCCTTAAATCGAGGGATGGAATAAGGGGGGGAGAGAGAGAGTGTGTGTGTCAAGAATGTGATGATATTGCTGAGCAGGCACTTGATATATTGAAGGAGACCATGCCAAATATTGACCTTTGATTATATAAATCGACAAACACTAGGCTGTGTGCATGCACTATATGTATAGTACATACGCACAGCCTAGTGTATGTCGAAAAATATAACCAGTGGCCAATATCTGTCATCCTCTCCTTCAATATATCAAAAGCCCGCTCAGCAATATCATCGCATTCTCGACTCTCTCTCTCTCTCTCTCTCTCTCTCTCACACACACACACACACACACACACAAGAGCAATACCCCGGCCAGAGAACCAAGCACCTAATTCCTGTAAACAAGCCCGTTTCCTCGTAAACACACGACTTACGAGATACAAACCCGTCACATAAAATACACACCGCAATACTGCATACTACACGATTCGTCCTTCCCTTGCATAATTCAAAAGAGCCCTTTTAAAGACAAAGGAGGAAAGTCAAGGCACGATGCATAATTCAAAAGAGCCCTTTTACGGACAAAGGAGGAAAGTCAAGGCAATCGTACCCGAGAGTCGGCTTCTCCTTCGAGCTGTCGCGAGATTGTGCACCGATAGGAACACCAACGTAAACGCCAATTTATGAAAGACATGGAAACACGCACACCGCACACAAACGGTCAGACTACGAACCTGGTCATTTATCCCCGACCTTTCCACAAACTCCTCCGAGCAGCAAGCGGACCTTCAACGAGCCGAGCACCCTGTGCAACTTCAATTACAATTCCCTGATTTGCGCAGAGGAAGCTCTAAGAACAGCAATTTCACGTCACTCAGGCATCCAACATCTGGATGGGGCAATAACACCCACATCATGTAGATAAACCATCGCCATCCCGCACATCGAGCAGTGTGAAAGCGTTAACACCAAACGCAATATCAAGGAAAGAGACTTGAATGCCAATACACATGCGACAAGACACAGTTCATCAAAACGGAAATCATCCAAACGAGACCCAATTCATCATACATGAAACATAGGAAACGTCAGCGAACAGAGATTCACGCGACGAGACACAGTCACCAACGCATGATCTAAGGGATATATACCGACACGTGCCATCAAGAAAAGGCACAATCCAGGTAGAAAACAGGACACTGAAGCAACAAGACACAAAGTCGGGCGGTGGAGAATGGTCACAGCCAGCAGGAAAACAACACGGAGGAGCCAAGAGAAGGCAGAATCCGGGTAGAAAACGGGACACTGGAGCAGTAAGACACAAAGTCAGGCAGTGGAGGATGGTCACAGCCAGCAGAGAAACAACACAGGGAGGAGCCACGCAGAGGAGGCCGAAGAGCTCCAACAGGCAGTCCAGTACAGGAATGAGAACCCCGCGACACGAGGCACCATAGGAGAGAGACAACAGGGACTTAAAAAATCCAGTCGAGTGAAGGAACATAGGCCAATGCACTATGGGCAGGGACTGCGGCGAGGGAACTGGCGCATATGCTTAAACAGGGAGAATAAAGTAAAGCAGACAACCAGTCACCCCTTGGGAAAGTATACAGGAGCAAAACGGCACTCACGAGGGGGTTCGGAGTTGAGGAGATGCGGGCGTCGCCAGCCGAGACACGTGGCCCACGAGCCAGCGGGAGACATCGTGCGAAGTACGGCCCGCGCAACAGTTGGGGACCACGTGTCCACTCCTTATTTGTTGCAGGTCCCCAACTGTTGCGCGTGCCGAACTGTTGCAGGTCCCCAACTGTTGCGCAACAGCTGTAATGGCAGCTGAAGCAGGCAACCTGCAACAAATAAGGAGGGGGCAGGTGGCAGACAGAGGAGCAGCCGAAGGGAGCGAGCGCATGAGCCAGCATAGGAGGGGATACGGAGACAGCAGTGAGAGTGGGTTAGCAGCTCAAGGAAAGGGAATCACTATGAAGGCAGCAGAAAACAATTCAGTGGCGGATAGGGAACAACGGAGGGGGAAAGTGGACATCGTAGCGGCGGAGAGGAGACAAGAGGAGGAAGGGGACAACGCAGCGGCATACGTTAGACCTATCGGTGGGGGGGACAGCACATCGGCGGGGCGTGAATGGAGAGAGCACATGTTCCAGCACAGCAGCGCGAAGGGAGCAGCGGCTACGCAAGACCAGCAGTGAAGCGGCAGAAAGGGCCATCAAAGCGGGGAAGGCCAGCGGGCGAGTGGAAGAATGAGACGTCGGAAGCAAAATTGATAATCGAACAGGGCTAGTGATGATGCAATGAGCGATAGCAGCAGACCATCGATAGACAGGGGAAGACGGGACACTACTAGACAAGCGTGGCGAGGCGGCGGCACAGCTGAAGACAGGGGAAGACAGGGGAAAACAGGGGGAAGACAGGGGAAGACGGGAAGACAGGGGAAGACGGGAAGAAAGGCGTACTTAGAGGCAACAGAAGCCTAGAGCACCGACTGGCGGGGATATGGGAGCTCCAATCAAAGGAGGCCGCGCGGAGGACGGAGTGCGCTGGTGGCGCAAAGCCAGGGGTCAGCAAAGCTTACAAACCCCGGCCGAGGCGACGTCGCTCCGGCCGGAGTGCGCGAGATAGTCCAAAGCCACGGGTCAGCAAGGATTCTAATCACCACCGAGGCTAATCATCGTAATTCGAAAGCCGAAATCTGTAGAGGGGATGTTCCAGAAAAAAAGCAGACGGAGAAGACGCAGGGAAGCATAGACGGGCAAGCCGGCCAAGTAAGAGAGCAAAGAAAGGAGTTCAACGGGATGAAAGAGGGACGTGCATAAAGCGAAAGGAAGCGAGAGAGTGCCAAAAACAACAGCAAACAGAGGGCACCACAGAAAGAGGTAGAAGGGCCAGGGGAGCACAGAGGCACTGGGGAATTCAGATACACCCCCGCGCAGCAGACGAGTACATCATAGCAAGATATGCAGAGTTAATTAACAGCTAGCAGTGGACACAGTGACAGGGAAGTGAGGTCCACGCAAGACGGTACGAGAGGCGATCCAACGTCGTTTTGGAACAGAGAGACGAAGGGGATTATATACGGGATACGCTTAAGGCAGTGGAGAGGTACAGAGCTGAGTGCAGATGAATGGAGTCTGGAATACAGACTGGAGTTAACAAACACCATGACCGTCGGAGGCTGATGGTTTGGAAGAGGAACACCCACAGAAAAATGGTGAAGGCGAGGGAATGAAAGGGAGACGACAAAATAGGTAGACATAGGGAAAAAGACACGGAGAGAGAACGAGAAACAGCGAGAGAGGGGGTCTTACGTGAAAACAGACAAGACGGGAGAGGCCATCGAGGACATCGGACAAAGGAGACAAGGGGAGGGGCAAATAATAAGTACCAAGAGGATATGAGAGGAACAAGCGAGAGATAAAATATGTAGACAGGAGGACAACGGCGAGATGTCGAGAGATAAATCGCTCACACCAGAGGGATGTAAATAGGGGGGAAATAGGATTCTTACCTCATAAACCGGGTCGGGCTGACCAAAGGGGATTTGATGAGAAGTCTGAGAATAGAGCGAACCGCGCCGAAGGGGCCGCCGATGATAAGACTGCTGACGTGACGAAACAACAACCAAAAATGAGAGAACACCGCAGAAAAATCGGCGGGGTCCGCTGGGCAGAATAATCCAAAAAAAATGAAGTATCGCTGAGTCGTTGCGCTGCCGAACAAATGGTCACTCGTACACCTACCGCCGCCGCCGCTGAAAATTCTCTACCAAGTATGGCCGAGATGTGGCCTTCGCTGAAGATTGGAACTCAAGTCATCTCGTGTCGAATCACGACCTTAATTGGAAACTAATCTGGAGAGAGCAGCGAGCAACCGAGCAGCCGCCACGATGAGAGAGAGAGTGAACCTCAGTGACGGCGCTCCCAAAGTTCCGTGTCGCCGAGTAGTCTGCAGGCAATCGTCACCGCGCACAGAACACCAGACACACCATACATTAGGGGATCGAATCAACTCGTTCCAAGTTCCCATTTCCAATCCAGAATGAAGACGGGCACACCGAAGAAAACAATTCCAGTTCTCATTCCAACATGCGATAAAAAGAATAATCACAGCGTGGAAACGAACATAAGTCAGTCAAACCTCATTCAAATTGAACAGCTCAGTCTAGTACGACCTCGCCTCCAGCACACCCTTTCCTCACCTCTTCACCAGCCGACCACAAACCGTTTATAAAAGACCATCTCTGCTGGCTACCCTTCCCCATATACACGAACCAGAACAAACTACTCCCGCATCCGGACGGGATAACGCGTAATGGGATGGCTTCATCACGAGTTTTCCAGAAGCTGCGTTTGCATGGAGCATGGGTCCGAGATGAAACCCAGCGACCCATTACGCTCTATCCCGTCGCTCAAAATTCCATGGATGCACAGCTTCTCAATCACATCGTTAAGCAGCTACGGCAAGTGAGCCCTATCATCATCACCTTGCGTCCACAAACCATACAGGGGCGAAGACAATTCCGAATGTTTTGTCATGGGTAAGACAGTCGTCTTAAGGAGGCAAGGCTGTCAAACAAAGAAAGACTTCAACGAACCTATCAACTTCCCCCGGTCCAGGAACTCGTTTGCATCACTTCGAAAACAACGTGGACTATACAGTGGACCGCGCAAGGCGCGGGAACGCAGTCAGGAGAATGTAGAGGATGCATGAGGGCAGGAGCAGAATAGTGGGTAGTGGAAATGAGGTTAAGCGACGGGGAGGTAGTGGATATGAGGAACAACAGAACGAGGACGTAGGGAAATAAGAGAGAAAGCGGCGGCAGAAAGTCGAGAATCAGAACCAGACACGGCAACACATACAGTCGTCTAAGCAGGAGATAAGATCGCGCAAGGACCAAAAACGAGGCGGCAGAGACGAGCGATGGAACGAGAACTAGTACTGTAATATACAGTGGACGAAGAACTACCGGTAGGGAGGCGAGGCATAAGGACAAAGGGAAGAGACAAGGAGAAACGAGATGTAGGTGATTCGAGGACATGGACAAGGAGACGATACAGACTAAGTTTGGTAAAGGTGGCAGGGGAACGAACAGGACTCGCCGTGAGAGCGGGGAGAGACGACAACACACCTTCAGGCCGCAGCGCGCTTCCAAGTAGGCGGGCGATGACGGAGAACACAACGGAGGTGAGGAGGAGAGGAGCAGCGCACGGCGAAGATGCTAAGCTACATGAAATACTGCGAGCCTCGGAGTGGGGCCAGATGGAACGCGGGGATACGGAAGCACAGCGCTGAAAGCAGGTGCCAAGCAGATAGACAGCACAAAGGAGCGGCCCACAAGGGAGGCTGCGCAGGCGAGGGCAGCACCGCGGTCTGGGAGGTGGTGCCGCACTCGGAGGGTGAGGCAGGGAGCCGCGGGGGAGCCAGCGAAGCAAGGAAGATTCAAATCGTGACGACCGGGATGGACCACAGTGGAGGAGCCGCACAGCCAAGAGGAAAATCGTCACCGCTACCGTCTTCCCCCAAACACAACGCACCCTCATTTCGACCGTATCGGGACGGAAACATGCCTTGCATACGTTCATTTTCAGGGTGCTTTAGGTTCGGCGGAAGACGGTGGCTATACAG